GTAAATATCCGGTCAAAAGTTATAAATTTGCCTTATTTGTAATTAAATGTTGGTAAGTTGTTTGGACCAATCAGATCTCGTGGGCTAATCTGGCCCATGGGCAGTTTATAAGCTAGGATGTAGTGCACTCCCACTTAGCTTAGAAACTATGTCGATCATTTGGCTGGGGTGACTATATCTGTAATGCAGATTAGTTATTGCTTGTACTACTACAGGATTTAAACCAGAATAGTAGTTAGTTTTAACCATTTTACAGGGGTAAAGCCGATTTTAGTGATTTATAGCTGTTTTAAAGACTTATAGTGATTTATAGCAAGTATATTATAATAAAATATCAGATTCATTTTTATTCGATTGTTCGGGTGAAAACACATTCATATTTTTTTTGATTCGGTTAAATTAGATCCGATCACCGTGGATGGCTAAACTATAAAGTTTGTATCACATGAGATCTCTGCCAGTTCCACCCGGTAAATGTCTTTCAACAGAATATGTTAATTCGACTACTCCAATGCTTCGGAGATGTGGCAAAGGTCATGAATGGTCTACAACTCTTTATCTAATAAAAAATAAGGGAAAATGGTGCTCACAATGTTCTGGTAATTTTCCCTGTGGTCTCTCGGAAGCTAAGGAAATTGCTCATAGTAAAGGAGGTATGTGTCTTTCTACGGAATATACAAATCTCTGTGTTCCGATGCAATGGATGTGTAATAAAGGTCATAAATGGTTTGCTAGTTTTAATAGTATTAAGCATGTTAAATCTTGGTGTCCATATTGATTAAATAAACATGAAAATCTATGTCGCAAAGTCATAACTAACATTCTTGGCCCACCTTCCAGCATCCGCCGACCAGATTTCTTGAAAATACCTGAACATCCTCGAGGACTAGAACTCGACATCTATTATCCACAGTATGGATTTGCTATAGAGGTACAAGGCAAACAACATGAGCAACACATAAAATATTTTCACAAAGGTCCAGAAGAATTTGAAAAGCAGTTGATGCGTGATCAGCTCAAAAAAAAACTTTGCGAAAAGAATTTGATTGTTTTAAGATATGTTTGGTATTACGAGGATCCAAATATAGTCATTCCAAATCATCTTCGAGAATTGGGTCTTATTGAATAAACTCAAATATTTAAATGCTTTTGCGATTCGTTATTATTTTTTTCAAATATAATTTTATTCATCTGGAATTACACGAAAAATCTAACTAATTATTATGAGCGAAATCTGGATAATCGTCTGCGCAAATTAAGGTGGCTTAGTTTTCTGTCGCACAGGGTCTATTGTATGACGGCAATGTGATTTTATGATTTTATCAAATAAAAACTGATTCGAATAGAATTTGAATCAAATGTTAATGATTTAATAAAAGGACGATAGTTTTCTTCTTGCTCTTCTAAGTCTTCTATTATGGCTCAAACAGCAGGTCAATTACTAGGTCAAGCCGTTCCAGTTTGCCAATGGATCCCGCAAAATACACTTAATACAACTTCAACAATACCTGCTTACCCACGATTTCCAGACAACGTGAGGGAATGGATCGGATTCTTTCGAGCTGTTAGACTTGCTGGTACGCAATTTCCCTTTCCGGGAGGACAATTCCCCGGCGTTGGAGCCACAAATGCAATACCTCTCAGAGTCGAAGACGATGCAAAAACTCGTTTACGAGATAATGTTTTATCGACTGTCGGAGCGTTAATACCACAAGGAGCAGGATTTGTTGCAACACCTGCCGTATTTTTAGGTGCTTCTGACTATGTTTTATGCACTAATAATTACACAGTGGCCAAGATGCCGGTGGAAATGAAAACGCGCTACAATCTTGATTTACGCGGTTATGATTTCTGGCAAATTTATCGATATAACGACCGGCGTGGAATAATGAATCCAAGATTTGGAGACCGAAGATTCGATCCAAATTTTAGATTCAAGAAACGTATCCTATCGCAGATATTTGGTGAAATGGCCTGTAATGGCCTCCATTATGGTATTTTATCAAATTATATTGATACGTATTTTCTCAAGCGAGAAGAAACAAATCCAACCACCCTTTATATTTCCCGTGTTGTTCAACCCACTGATACTAATCCGACTTTACGCGAATGCGTTTACTATATCAGCCAACTTGCCATTAATGATAATGTTGGTAATAGATTGGGACGTGTAGTGCTTGACAGTTATTCATCTAATGATGATGATGATGATGACGACTCTAGTTACTATGATCCTGATGATTATGACGACCCAGATTACGACCCTGATGATGATTCTGATGGCTCTGATGATGATGGTGATGATTATGCTGGTTTAGGGAAGAGGAAGAGAACATCAAAGAGGAGTAGTAAACCAATTGCGAGTTCATCCAAGGGAATTACTACTGTAGATAAGTACATAGGTGGCGGATCATTTGGAAAAGTTTTTTCTGGATATTATGATAATCAAGATGTAGCATGGAAGACTTGTGATGCATATAAGAAGCAAGAGGAGATGAAAACGCTAAAGCATGAAGCTCATATATATTCTATTTTGAAAGAATGTCAAGGTACAATTTTTTTTCATTCATAATATTTTTGGATAATATTAACTTGTCTATTGCAATATTGATATTAGGTCGTGATATTCCACGTTTGTTCTACAACGGTTACATTTATGACGGATATCTTTTTGCATTAGCGTTACAATTAATTGAGAGCGCCCATCACGTTGATCCGGAAAGACTCACTAAAGAGGAAAAAAAGTTAATAGTCAATCAGCTAAAGTCAATACATAATTGTGGCGTCCTACACAATGATATCTCAGAAAAAAATATTCTATATGAACCAAAGAGTCGCCATTACTTTTTTATTGATTTTGGCTTGAGTGAGGTCGTGGGTAGTGAGTCGCCGAAATTGCGCCAGGAAGAAAGAAGATTAAAAAAATTTTTAAAACTTTAAATATTTGGACGCATAGGACTATACCGCATTATCACACTAGATGAAGAATAATTATTATTATTGCAAGCTACAATGTATATATTACTTTCATTTTAAATCATAAAATGTAATAAATCATAAAATAAATCATATATTTTGCACAACTTATTTCCCAATACATATTTATTAAATAGGGATTCTAAACAATTTAATGCGAGTCACAACATCAAGTTATTTCTTTGCTTGATAAGCGAATACAAAATTTATATTGAGAATGTATATACGCATAAAACATGCACACATGTTTAAAAAATTCAAAGTGAAATCTTTATTATATTTTTTTCGTAAAGAAATAAATGAGAAAGAGTCGGCCGGAAAGTAAAATAAAGTAAATGGAGTAGCAGGATGTTTCAAGGGAGGAATTAGCCGAGCCCTAACCCAATATAGTGGCAGTTCCTTCCCCGCTACTCCGCATTATTATCTAAACTACCACTAAATTCTTTACTATCTACCCATCTCATAATTGACATCACTGTGGTATATTTTGGATCCCCTCTACCATAATAAAAATTTTCCACAGTACTCTTCCCAATCTTTTCCTGATGACGAATTTCACGTCTAACGGTTTCAAACGCATAATCTAAAGTTTCCCCTTCTTCCTTATTCGAATCAAAAACTCGCTTAAAACGGTTCCTATTTTCTTCAAGAGATGAAACAGATAATCGACTAGAAGAACTTTCACTACTAGAGGAATGATTGGCACTCAGTTGATCAAAATCGACCTGAAGCCTTTGGGCAATTGCATAACGTTGGATCATTTCATTTCGGAGAGCTTCAATAGAGGTCCTGATCGAAGTGAATTCAGATGAAATGTTGCCAAAATCATTACGGCAGGCTTCTTCGATATTATCAAGTCTTGTGGTCACATTATTGACCATCGATAAAATTTTCTGCGCCTCAGAGGCATATCCAGCATCACGTGTATTGATTTTAGCGATTTCTCCGGTAAGTTTCTTATTAAGTTCATTATTGTTTCTCACAAGCTCCGCAGTGAAAGTAGAATTAACTTCAGAAAGGCGTGCGGAAAGTTCGTTGGCAATTTTAGTGTTAACTTCTGCGCCAAGCTTTTTGTTCATTCTTTTCGATTTCCGCAGTAATACTTCCATCACGTGAGGAGAGATCATCCGCGATTTTAGTATTAATTTCATTCTTAATTTTGGTGATCTCTACATTAATAAACGTTTTAACTTCTGTATCACGTGCGGAGATTTCATCGGAAATTTTTTGTTTCCACATGGTAACGATCCCCATGAATATCGCTGAAATAACGAACGAAAAAAACAGCGGATAAGGCCAAAAATGGCATGCTTCCCGAAGAGTTGAGTAATGTTAAATTGGACATGATAAAGTGGTGATGCGTAGTAAATTTATTAAGAGTTTATTGGTGGATCAAGTTTTTTAGATATTAACGATTGACTTTTTTTAATATGCAATCTCTTGCGTAAATGTGCTGGGAAAAGGGTTTATTTTATACTGTATGCTTACTACGCGTGAAAAGAGAATTTAACCCGATTTACGTTGCTTTATTATGTGTATTCGTCATAACTACATTTTTCATAATTATATTTTTTCAGCTAAAACAATTATAACGGCCTGGATCCCATCTAATAATAACAAATGTTCCTCCCTGAATTTGAGGCGCATTTAACAATAGTGCTTAAAATAAAATCTGACAAATTACAGTTTTATGACAACTTGATATAATACTAATGGAGCAATGCCGTGTCTCAAAAATTTCCGTTTATTTCTAAGATCTCTTGCGAAATAGAAGATTGCATGTGGTGTATGTAGGCGCATCTTTGTTTGAGTTCACAACCCCTATTTCAATTGTAATCACAAAAAAGGAATATAAAATGAATGGATCGAGGTCTGTAGATGATGAATCGCACATGTACAACTAATTCCTATTCAAAAAACGGATTAATATGTGATTAACCTGTATACGTAATTTGAATGCGCTAACAAAACTAGGATAATAAAAATATACTGTTTAAATCTGTAAATCGTCGCTCTATTTCCATTTTGATTTTCTTTTTAATAACGCCCTGTCTTATGATCCGCAAAATGTAAATCAGGGATGCGGTTTTTTTATTAGTAATTCAGAACTGCGTAATAAGCGATATAGAACATACCAGAACTTTGGGGAAAGTTCATCATAGCAACAAAAATATTGGTTTATTAATAGATCCTCTGTCTTAGCGTCTTCAGCAAAAATGACGATTGCGGATGTCAGTAACGTATTACTGCGCCTAGCATATTCTGCGGATTCACATGAGCCAGTGACGTTAATTATTGCGGATGACGTTTTACTATGCATCATATCTAAGCCACCCACATGATTCGAAAAAAAAAGAAATATACGAATTCGCATAATTCAGTCAATGCAAGTAATTGATTCGCCCAATAATTCTTCTAGGCGGTTACCGGAGAGATAATAGGACTCATCATTGGTGAGCTTTTTCTTTCGTATCTTCCGTCATGATAATAATAACCTCTATCATATTCACCATATTCATTATATCCACCGTAACCATTATATTCATCATCATCCGGCATCTCTTCTTCAGAATCGCTAGAACTGGAGTCATCATCGTCTGAAGTGGTGATGTTCACTTTAGTAGGATTCGCCTCATTGAAAAACATATTTTCATCAAACCACGAACCTCCTCTTCCTTGGAATTATCAGAAGAATTAGAGGGATGGGCTAATGGAATAAGTGCAGTTGATTCCTTTGGAGACAAGACCTCCAATACATTATTCTGATCGGGAGTATTTTCAGGCAAATTTTTTCTGGGACATAATGTCTCGGAAATTTCAGTCACATGATCCGTTACCAGAGGTAATTTTTCCGAAGATATTCCATAATCTATAACATCTTGAATTTGCTCATTAGTAAGCTCTGAAATAGAAGTTGCACTATAAGATTTGATATACTTGATTTTATCTAGGCCCACTTGTTCGATAAATTTATAGACTTTCTCAGCTCTCTGGGTTTTCTTGCGCAAACTATCTCGTGATACATCTCGAAGCTGTAACCCCGTTTCTTGGGATCTCTGTTTACGAAGCAAATTAAGCTGTTTTGTAATGGAATCATACAGTAAGCCTCTTGCTTTCTTTTCACCGAATTTACCTTCACTACTTTCTATGATTCCATTGAGCTGAATTATGAAATCTTTCGCATAGAGGTACCAACATAAAATTTCTTCCTGATTAGCTCGATTTGCTTTATCTTCAGCATCAAAAACTTTATCGCATAACTGAGCTAGATGTTGTGAGGCCTCATCAATACTAGATTTATCAGAGGTAACTTTTCCGGGACATAATGTCTCGGAAATTTCGGTCACATGATTTTGTTCTATTGATGGCTCTTGTGAAGACAACTCCGAAGCAAATAATTCTTGCTTAAGCTTGTCCACACTCTTCCCCTTCTTACACTTTGAATCCAGTTCGCTACATATCTTTTCTTCTGATGACGTGCTATTGCATGGCTGAGTGACTGAGTTGAGATCTTGAGACATTTTCTCTTCGGGATGTGTTGGAAGGGACTCTTGGGTTTGGCCGGAGGTGCTAAAGCAAAGTTTCTTTTCTTGATTTCTCTGCCTAATCTCATTACTAACTTTTTTCTTATACTCCTCATCCAAGAAAGCGTCCATTTTCTTGTCTTCAGGCAGTGTTGTCATAGGGACGGGACAGGGATGAGGACGGGACGGGACGGGACAGTCCATGGACATAAACAAAAATTTTTTAATTTCCGGGACATTGGGACATTTATATCACGTGATCTTATAATATTTATTTATTTATTTATTTATTTACAATTTATAGAATTATTATTAAAAAAGAAATTCTAATTATTTAAAAAGTGAACTCAAATTCCATTTAGCATTAGGATCAATTGCAGGATGAAGAATATCATCAACTGTTATTTGCATTATATCATTTTCATTTTCATTTTCTCCAAATTCATAAGTTTCTTCTTCTAACATTTCTGACCATCCTTGCAAATAATTATTAAATTCTTTTTCTAAATCTTCTTTTTCTTCTTTTTCTTCTTCTTCTTCTTCTTTTTCTTCTTCTTCTCCTTCTTCTTCTTCAATAATTACTAGATTTTCTTCAACTTCTTTTTCATTATTATTTTTCTCTTCATTACGAGTTATAATACTTAATGGAGTTAAAATTGAAGAATCAGAATTTATACGATGTTTCCATGTTATATCTGCCCTTAACTTACTCATATTAAGAACTTTTGATGACTAAAAAAAAATTTACATATTAATTTAATATTTGTTTATATTATTTATAAAATAAAAAATTAAATACCTTTAAACGATTTCGACGATTAGTTTGCAAAAAACCCATACAACTCCATAAACGTTCAACAGAAGCAGCATTTACACAAATACCAAATAATGTGCAAGCAACTAATCCTAATTCATTTGTAGATACTCTCGCAAAACACCAATATCTCCAGATGTCATTATTAAATTGTTTATACGTATCATCATCAAACGGATATTTGCCCAAACGAAAATCATCAAATTCACGTAAAATACAGGTGGATTCTTTTCCAGACCATGCCCAATAATAGTATTTAAGCCATTTACCAAAAGTAGTATAATTGATATTTACATTATCTTTGAATTGTTCTATTCAATATTCAGGATGTAATAAACATGATAATAAAAGTAGTGGCTGTTCCCAGTCACTCCATCTTTTTTCTAATCGTACTTGAATTCGTGCAGCAAGTTGAATATTCGCATGATCATTCCAAAATTGAAAAAGGTATGCAAAACAGTGTGTAACTTGAAATAAACGCGCTTTATCCTTTTGAAGAATATCTAGTATTTTGCAATATGGATACAACATTTCTACAATTAAATGTATGTTCGTCTAAAATGATTCAGAATCAATGATCTCAAACATTTCACGTGAAATAGTTGGAGTTTCTCCTGCTTGCCGCCGAACTTGACTAAAAGGTGGTTTAAAATTAATTGCAAGTATCTAAAATTATCAAATTTTCATAAATTAATTAAAATATAATATAATTAATAATGAATTTAACAGCATGTTGGTAAATTTACCTGTAACGCTTGTTGAGTTCTCAAATAACTTGAACATACTTCGTAATAACTGTTCCACCGGGTTTCTCCTGGAGCTGCTA